GTACTAGTAGTAGTAGTGGTAGTAGTAGGAGTAGCAGAACTAGTCGTGACTGGTACTTGGTAGTTGGTAGTACTAGTAGTAGTAGTAGTAGTAGTAGTAGTAGTAGTAGCAGCAGTAGTAGTAGGAGTAGTAGCAGCAGCAGCAGCAGCAGCAGCAGCAGCAGCAGCAGCAGGAGAAGCAGCAGCAGCAGTCGTCGTCGTCTAGTACTAGTACTAGTACTAGTACTAGTACTAGTAGTAGTAGTAGTAGTAGTAGTAGTAGTAGGACGAGGAGGAAAAAGAAGTAGCAGAAGTAGTAGTGGTGGCGGTGATGGTACTGATAGTGTGGTGGCGGTGGTGGTGCTGGTTGTACTCGTAGTAGTAGCAGTACTTACTAGTAGTACTGCTTAGTGGTCTGCTGGTGCTGGCGTTGGTCATGATGATGATGATGATGATGATGATGATGACGACGACGATGCTCGCAGTGGTGATAGTGGTGCTGCTACAGGTGGTGCTGGTGGCGGTGCTGGTGATGATGGTGATGGCGGTGGCGGTGGTGGTGGCGGTCGGGGTTGCTGTGGCGGTGGGGGTGTCGTGGCGATGCCGGAGAAGGTGGGGGTGGCCCACCCGGGGTGGCGAAAACAATATACCAAAGACGACGAAACCAATCATGACACCTCAATACATGCGAGGATCGCGATACATCAACAGCAAACGTAGAAACACGAAGACTATAGTCACATCAGCACTCCGAAAAGCGTAACAGCACTAGCCATGACAACAGAAACCATAGCAAGGATGGCAATCATGATCGACGGAACAATGACGAAATCAGCACTACTCATAGTAGTACGAATGCAATGGTACTCCTAGTACTACTTCGTGGAACACTTTGTATTGCATGTAGCCATAATCTAGACGAGTAGTACAGCAAATAGCAGGTACCACGCCGACCAGCATGATGGTGTTGAGATTTACGGGGCCCCTTGTCACAGTACAACAAGTACAGAAGCTATGCGGAAGCAAAACCGCCGTGATGGCCTTGGCACAACTATCGAACAACACGTAATGGCAACCATGGCGACAAAAACAACTGTAACCACGACGTACCATGATGGTAAAGCCAGGTCTTTGAGCCTCAGAAGACCCGTTTAGGGATCCGGGCCCAGTTCAGCAATCCCCAGGCGATGGGATAGCGATAGTCGAAGGTGATGAGGCGGTTCAGCGGGGAACATCTGGGAGGCTCAGGAACATTTCGAGGTAGCTTTGGTGCTTTACTTAATCGCTTGTTATGTATTCGATGTACATAGCTATGTCCAGGCAGCAGTGGTTTAAAATCATTCATGCAGCTAGTGCCTGCCGTGTTGTCATTCTGTGACGAGTCCTCGAAAAGTCTGATCTAATGCGTCCTGTGCTTCTCAAACCCATAATGAATGCTGTTTCTGCTTCAGGTGTCAGGGTTGCGATATCTGCCTGTGCAAGCAGCAGGTGGTTTCAGGGTATGGGGGTTGTTGAAGATTTTGCAGTATTATGCTTCACTGCCAAATCATAGATGCGGCTCGGTCTCACGCCCATGTAATGATCCTGCACCTACCTCCCCAGCCGATGACCCGATGGTTTGAGGCGCCGACGGCACCTGCCCGGCTCCGTCGCACCCCTCGTCTCCTGTCGAAGCAGAAGTGAAGAAGAATCCCAAACAAAGTGTCCGTTTACCTGATCAGGTGGGGCCGAAAATGCATGTCGTCTGACATGGGCCTTCGGGTTCTGCAGTCCACGACAAGGACATCTGCGCTCGTCTCGTATGTGCCTCTATATAAGTTCGTGACCGACATGCGTGTCCCTTGCGCCACCTTGAAGGATCCAGAGATCACCCTATTGCAGGGAAGCGAAGAACGGAACACAGAACAGGAGCTCCCAATGGAACGCGATAAACAAATGGCAGATTAAGTGCAACAGATGCGGCAACGGGACTCATGGCAGCCTTGAGCAAAGTACGAGGAATGTACGGCTTTCTGTGTTGAACCGCGGACTGTCGCAACATATGAATGAGCGGAGAATGCCTCCGAGTGACAACTCGGCAACAGCAGACGGAGTTGCTGCAGTCTCTGCTGTCATGCGCTGAACTCCCCAAGCAACTTTAATCGGCCTTGCCTGCTGGATTGTGCAGACGAGATGACGTACGGTTACAGGAGGGTTGAGGGTGCTGAGACTCGAGACGGCTAAGTCCTGCAGCTGCTTTGGTGTCAGCAGCCTTCGCTTTGGAGGTGCTGTTGCCCTTTGTGTCCTGCCCGCGGCAAATAAGTCAGGGCGCTTGGCCAACACACTTCAGACCTCGACGTGCTAAAAGACTCTCAGGCGTCTTGCAACTTGCTTCCACTGCCACACTTCCCACTTATCCACTCAGCAGCACCTTGTGTTTCTGCTTCTTGCGCACACTGAAACCCTAAACCCTAAACCCTAAACCCTAAACCCTAAACCGTGAGAGATGTTCAAAAACTCTGAAAATCCGAGCCTCGGGGACGGCTCGGAACTCCTCCGAGCCCAGTGCCAGCGCGGAGACCGCGGGCGTCTCGCCGGAGATTAGGGTGGGTGGGGGTGGGTGGGGGTGGGTGGGGAGTGAGTCTACTGAACTGGGGCTTAGGCAGTCGATTCGGGAAATTTTCAGGGCTTCAGGGTTTAAATTTCAGGAGTATTTCGTGATCGAGGGTACATGGAGAGATTACTGAGGCGGTGTGGCAGGAGAAAGCCAGGGCTCAATGGTTTAGATGAGAGTTAAGGGTTTTCGGATTTCGTCACAGGGCCTAGGGACTGCACACGTATACGGACCTACACGGGTACGTAGACTGCAAAACTCTTGTATACTACTTGTATACGAGAGATGCGTGATATATATATATATATATATATATATTATATATATATATATACATATATATACATATATATATATATATACCTGGTACCCCATATGTACGTGCGTGTATATATATATACATATATATATAATGTATGTATATATATATATATATATGTACATGCACGGACACCTACACGCTTATCTGGTTCATTCCTATTTCCGAGCTGAAGGCAAGTATCTGTGGAAGATGCTTAATGCTCTCTGGCCTCCGCAGGATCGGGCTCTAACCTCGCATGCCCTCGCAGGGAGATCTGAAGACCTCGGTGGGTCGCTTGGATCTTCGCCTTCGGCGAACCAGAAGCGGCAACATAAGATATGAGTAGATGAATCGGATAAACGCATCGAAAACGAGACAAAAGAACAGGACTGGAGCAATCATCCGTGTCCATGTGTAGACATGGTATATACACCTGTGCACATGGAGTATGAAGCTGTTCATTCCTGAGCTTCGCTACGTTTTCATATGCGCACCTGTGTATGTATATGTATGCGTGTGTATATATACACCTACATACATACATACATACATACATACATACATACATACATAAATACAGATTGGTACATATGTATATATACATATACATATATATATATATATACAGATATACATATATATATATATATATGCAGGGATTAGGCATCAGGTCCATTCTGAGCCAGCTGCCCTGCAGTTCCTTCGACAGGACGGCGGCATCCTTCGGCAGGGATTCGGCGGGGATCCAAGCAAAAGCCCGTGACTGTCTGGACGATACAGCCATGTCGACGACTCGCCTTGATGCTACGCAACAAGAAGTTGTCAAAGAGCATTCTGCGAAAGATTGGAGACGGGGCGGAGCTTGCGGGTATCGAGGTAGGAGCAACCTAGGTCACGAGCTTCTTCGTCAAGAGCATCTTCAGGACGCGCATCCACGCTGGTCACGCTGGCGTCGACTGAAGACAGCGACGTGAATACAATGCATAAATACATCAGACTCACCCGAAGCATCATCAACACTGCCAAAACTACTGCCACGACCGAAAACGATGGTTGGAGACGCTTACTGAGCACGCTGTGGCATTACAGATAAAAGTTCCGGTGCATGTTTGCACAGGGGCCCCGTCTGGTTCGATGGCTCTCTTGGCGAGCAGAGTGCTCCATGCGAATGTCGTGCAGGGAAAAGCAAAGATACCTCCTGCTGCTGAGCATTGCTGAACGTGCTGCCCCTGATCCTCAAAACCCTGATCCCCACACCCCTAACCCTAAGTCCTAACCCAAACACCCCCAATGTCTGAAACCTAAACTCCACATTCGCCCCCACCTGTGCCAGGAAGGCTGCTACTCGGCTCGTGCGCTGCACCTCCGGAAGTCAGAAGCTGGGCGCTGGAAGCCCTCTTAAGCTTGGGCTTGTAATCATCGGTCCAAATCAGCAAGGAGCTTGATAGGGCGAAGAGAGTCGAACTGAGGGTGCTGTTCAGGCACAAGTGAGCGAAGTACCGCAACTGATGCCGATGCATATAGTATGAAGTTGATTCGAGGCATGCCATGGTTTCATTGTCAACATCAAGTGACGCGGTTCAGCTGCATCAACGTTGCCCGCATCAGCGACAGTTTAGCACAGTCGAAGAGCCTGTAAAACATGTAGTTGACCAGGACTATGACCAGTATTACCTTCTCCAACGCATGATAAGCATTCTCATTGTGAGCTTGACCATGACATCCTCCTTGCTACTTGCAACTGAAGTGTTATCACGAGTGCCATCAGCAACCATAACAGTATAGTAGTATTAATATAAATTATAAATATTTCAACTCGTCAACATCTAGAGGAGCGATTTCCTCATTCCACTGGATTTTACAGGGGACACTTCTGCTGTGGCTCCGGAAGTAAGCGGCCACATTTACAACGCCTGAAGTCTGTTGGTATGCAATGATGGCACAGGGACGGTCCACCGGTCTCTTGTATAGCATAAATATTACTCGTAGAACACTATTGGTTCTCAGAACTACTAAACATATTATTGGGGAAAAAATATTTTTTTCCCCTGTAATATGTTCAGAACTACCATATGGCACCTAAACCCTAAACCCTAAACCCTAAACCCTAAACCAGACAATAGCAGCTTTCGCTCCAAAGCACCCGAGCCGGTTGCACCTCGGCCTCCAGCTCGGTCATCGGCAGCTGCGTGGGCAGGTGCGGGACCTGTTTGCACATCATCCCTGGTTGTGGGTTTAGGGTTTAGGGTTTAGGGGGGTTTAAACGGTTTAGGGTTTTGGGAGTCTTGGGCTTAGGAGTAAGGTTTAGGGTTTGGGGCTTAAGATGTAAGGTTTGCGGCGTTGGCTTATGGACTTAGGGCAAGCGTGGAACCCAGAAGATGTAGCCCACTGTAGCCCTGTACAAACTAGCATGGCGATATTCCGGCTTTCAAAGCTGCTGCTTCAACGTCCAACAAGGTACAAGTGATCGGTGGAGAGGAACTGTTTTTGGACTGCACGATGTGCGAATGGGACGGAGAAGCATGGCCCATCTAGTAGTGCGCACCTTTCCGCCGCAGAGCACGAAGAGACAGCAACAATCCCAGAATTCGTGTAATAGGGAGTACTTCGAAATTTCAGAAGGCCTGAATCGACGCTGCTGCGATAGCTGTGCGCCTCTACGAAGGTGTTCTCACCGTATGCAGCAAGCTGACCACCACTGTGAGTCTCCTCAGCCAAGATGGCCACTTTCTGGAGAGGGTCTCGCATCCGAAACCGACATCGGATCTTGCTGACCCCGGGTCAGACCCCACAGCTCCCACGGTTACCGAGACATGTCCTGCAAAGACAACAGTTGCCGTCAAGTCTCTGTTTCTACGCCGAAGCCACCCTGAGCGGCTGCTGCCTGGAAGTGAACAGGCGTCCGAAAGTAGTAGCTAGATTCGCGATCCCAGCGTCTCAAAAAAATGGGCACAGCTGCCACCAATCTGTGCTAGTCCAAGTAGTGAAGCTTTTCGGAGAAAATACGGCTCGATGAAAATTTTCCAAAAGCCGTGATACCATGATACATTTGTGGGAAAACAGTAAGCAAATCTATCTACCGTCACTGGCAACGGAGTCGAAAACAGTCGACGTTGTCCAGCCTCTCCTCACCATCCTCTTCCTCCTCCTCCTCCTCCCGGGCCTCCTCTGCCTCCTCAGCCTCCTCCCTGTCGCTCCGTGGCTTGTCCACGGCAAGCAGAGCGCCTGATGCCTTGTGTCCACACCGTCCACCCACATCAGCAACACCAGGCCCCACACATACGACTCTACCACAACTACAATCAAATCGCCCTTGGGGGCCATGGCTGGGGCCGGAACGAGAACCGACGACAGCAGCTCAACCAAGGCTGTGCGGACGATTGCCACGCGCCAATTGACAACGAGATGCTCGGTCCGGTTGCATTTCTTGCCGGCTAACATCAGAATCATGAGAAACGATGAAGATGCTGAGCGCCGCGCAAAGATACTCCGTCCAGGCGCGTCCTGCTGCAGCCCCTGGCCACCAAGTCCCATCCGCCATGACTACTACGACTACTACTTCTGCTGCTACCACTACCACTGCCACTACCACTACTACCACCCGCACCACCACCACCACGACGACCACCACTACTACTACTACTACTACTACTACTACTACTAGCCACCCCCCCCCCCTACCAACCACTGGCGCCATTCGGGCTGGGCAGTGGCAGCTTCTAGGCTCCCTAACTGCGGCAGC